AAAAAAAAAAAAAAAAAAAAAAAAAAAGAGAAAAAACAAAATAGCAGTTTAGCAATTATACATTAGCCAAAGACTCACAATGTTTTTGGCTATTTCCTGGGCTTAGTCTCAAAATTGTTTCATTACCTTAATAATTTAAAACTTGTTGGATAGATGTTGTTTATTTATTTATGAAGTGTTAGGCATTGAACCCAAGCCTTCACACGTGGCAGGCAAGCACTTTACCATTTCCCCCAAGTAATTATACTTTTGAATGGAAAATAACATTTAGTGACCTTTTTCAGATACCTTACAATGTAGAGGCAATACTGTATTGCTTACTGTTATGCCATTCTTTTGGCGTTGACTGAATATTTATACTGAGAGTCAGAGAGGAAAGGGGCTCACACTGTATTCACTGAAAGAGGGAGGGAGTGGTGAGTGGTGGACGGTAGTGGTCTTCAGGTCAGTGGAAGTTTCCTAAATTATTTGTAATGGTGGATACGTGACACAGTACAGCTTCCAAAATCCATAGACACAGAGTGCAAAGGAATATTGCTTTATAAACTTTAGCAATAGTATTGCATTAATACCGGTTCATTAACTGTTGACAAATGGGGCTGGGGATTGAGCTCAGTGGCTCTGTTACCTGCCTTACAAGTGCAAGGTCCGGAGTTCGATCCCTGGCACCAAGGGGAAAAAAAAGTAATTTAGCTGTGACAGACACACCACAGTGATAGAAGATAAAATAATGGGGGCAAGGATGTGTGGAGCGGAGGGGAAAGAGTACGTGTGGAAGCACCATGCAATTTTGGATCAATTTTTCTGCGAATTTAAAACTGCTCTAAAAACACAACAAAAGGTGAATTGACATACTTTACATGAGATGGTTTTATAATGTGTCTCTTACAAGCAAAGGAAGCTAAATTTAACTAGCAGAAGCAAAAAAGTAAATGTGTTGGTTTGTTGACATAAGCTGTAGGAAGAGTCAAGGAAAACCGGAAGAGAGATTTAATTGGCCTTCTTTTAAAAAAATCTTTGTGACAGTCCATGCAGACTTTCTTCAAAATTCCCAAGCCACAGTGGACAGCAAGGTCTAGGGATTTAGCTCAGTGGTTCTGCCGCCTGCCTCACAGTGCACAGCAATTTTCAGGGCTCAATTTTCAGCTACCACAGGGGAAAAAGGTCTCTGTCTGTCTCTGTCCCCCCACCCCACTACTTTATATAAGAAAAATTTCCAGCGGAGCCTGGGTAGTCTAGCTCAGTGATGGCGAACCCTTTAGATGATGCCAACAGCCTGCTGTGGCACCCATGCCCTATGTTCACCAGCACTGGCCTAGCATAACCTAACCAATTCTAAGAGAGGACAGACGGGCTCCCAAGAGAGAATGGCTGTTTACAAGGCCGGAAGAAACAGGGATGAAAGAAGCCCACTGTAGTTATTCTGGCAAAAGACAATAGTGTACAGACTAATGAGGCAGAGAAGTAGTACAGTGCTGGGAATGTTCTGAAGATAAGGGCTCTCTGGATTCATTGAGACACAGGGAATAAGGTACAAAAGAAAACCTTGAGAAGTCACTTTGAAGTTTTTGTCTTAATAACTCAAAGGATGGTCTTATATTTAACTGAACAGAATATCATGGTAGCACAGGTTGGAAGATATCAAGAGCATTATGGTCAATTAGCCGTCCAACTGGAGAGGTCAAGTAGGCAGTCTGGATATATCTGAGTGCCTTCCTCAAGATATCCACCTACAGTAATACTCACAGACTGTAATTCCTTATTGCCTAACTCCTTTCTTTGGAAGCAGGGTCTATGAGGTAAGCAACCTTTCCTGTTTTGTTCACTGCTATCTCTCTATTATCAGGAAGAATGGCAGGTGCTTTGTAAATGCTCACAATGTACTGGAAAGGTAAAATAAAAGAGTGCCTGATTGAACTAAATATTCAATTCACCAAAGTAGTTTGATCAGAAATAGAGTAGCACAAGAGAGTGTCTGAAAGTAAAATTTCTTGCCTGGTCAATACTAATGAGAGATTTACAATAGGTATTACATAGCAGGCGTGGTCAATGACGAACTATTGTAAACTGAAGAGACACTTGCAGAAGTTCTGTAAACTTTTATTTTACACTTTTGGCCCGCTGCCAGCCCAGGGCCTTAGCTTATGGCTCATTTCTACAAAGTTACTTGTTGGAAAGATGTGGTAAAGGTAGAAATTGGAAAGATTCTTACTAGTAAACCATTGTTACTTACCGGTCCATACACAAAATGCACATGGAGGCTTGTGTAGTTAATCAGAAATCTACAACTTTCTGAGTTTATACAATGCTTTTTTTTATATGCAAGAAACAGATCATCTTAAAAAAAAAGATAACTTTCTAAACAAAATGGTGTGGATATATGGCTTATATTACAGGCATGTAACACTGCATGTGATGTACCAGTGGCATAATTGAATCTGACGAACAAAGGAGCAGTATTCTTTTACCCTGCAGTGAAAACAACTAGAAATTCATGTAGTTCACTCATGACTGTGCTGCAATAGGATGCAACAAATTAGCTCAGCTCATTTATCACCAGCAATCTGGCAAAGTTTGATAGAAACATCAGGCAACCTGTCAATCTCATCATCACATTGAGTTGAGATTAGAACAATATAATACTTTAAAGTGTAACGTCTATTGCTCCAGCACAAGGGACAACATGAACCCAAATACTGCTTTGTCAAAAGCAACCAAACAAAACCCTGCACCATAATGAGTCCATGGCCCATTCCCTGTGTGCTGCTCCCATGTTTTATTTGCAGTGGTAACAAGGTCACAGGATTTCTGAACACAGCAGATCCTAGTATGTGAAAAGTGACCAAGGCACGTTGTTGCTATGAACAGTCACCTAGATTCCACACAGGGTGTGCTCCTGCACAATCACAGGGCATTATCAGATTAAATCATACACACCATCACATGTGTGCATATATCACATACACAAATACATTCCATAGAGACAATCACAAAAAACTGGTTAAAAGGAATTTACAGTTGTTTACACACACACACACACACACACATACATAGAGTAACATTTTTTGTGTACTCACAGTCTGTAAACATTTGGGGAAATGCCCAGCAAGAGTCACTGCGGGCCCTTTGAAACTGTGACCATGTGTGGAGTAGGGGGTGAGGTGAGAAGTTAGGTTTGTACCGGAAACCCGGAGAAGCGAAGAACTAAGATGTGATAGTGAGAGGAGCTATATTTCACCGACATGATAAACTCATCTGGCCACTGTGAAATGATGTTGCCTACTCAGAGAAAAGAATGACCGGAAATGTCTCAAAGCCAGTTACCTGGTTAGGAGAAATGAGAGAAAAACTAAAAGAATACAAGGGTATTCTTTACATTAATTTGAATTTGAAAATGGTTTTGACACTTTAAAATTTACATCAGAGAGCTTGGATTTGCAAAAAATACAAATATTTCATCCAAGCATTACTTTGGAATTTAACACAAAAACATGTTCAATACACCATGAAAAAAGAAAATATAGGCTCTTAAAAGTTTTTGAATAGCAGCTATTAAGTTGCTATATGTTATTAGTCTGTGTTTTAAGTACCTATTTTTTGTCTGTTTTAGAGTCTATATCTTAAAAGTAAAGCAGTGACATAAGAAACAGACTAATTGCTCACCTGAATATTGTTTTTTAATTAAAATATGTGTAAATTACCTCAAATAATCATTTATAGGCTAGTATGTGGTTAAATACTGGCACTGAATGGCATTTTAAAGAAAAGTGACTTAAACCTATGCTGTTTGGCTGCTCTACAAAAGGACTTAAAAATCTTGTAATAATCTCTAAACTTCTGTGATGACCAGTTCCATGGACCATGCAACAGAACTGTCATGAAAGCTAGCCCTGTACTTGAAAACTGTTTTCACGCAAAAGCGGCAAAATCCTTCTATAGTTTCATTTAACAGTCTCCATTCTCCACCCACCTTGTTTTAGGCTTGCATACAACATACAAACTATGTAAATTACACAAAAGGAAGTCAGGTTCATGGATTTTGTGGGTATAAATCATTTCACTCTCTACTGTTTTCAAAACACATCGGGAGAACCGTTTTCCCCCACAAGGATGCTACTGAGTTACGGAGAAAGGATCAGAGATTTCTAGAGACACAGTTGCTGTGTGATGGTTTTTTTTCCTCCAATAGGATTTGAAGACATGTTCTTAAGGTGTTAGTTAATGCTGTCCTTATGGCTGCTCCTCTCCGTGTGGTGGTTGTTTTGGTCATGGTTCTTCCACTGGATGCTCGTTCCATTCATGGGGACTGAGGTCATCAGGCTTTTGGACTGGTGACAGCAGCAACAGAGGCACGACTGGGACAGGGGACAGACTATTAATAATGTGAGATAAATACCCTTCCCAGAGGGTTCCATAGAGGCTCTGGGGCACAGCAACAAGGATTTCAGGTATCTACCTAGGGCTGTGAAATTGTCCCTCCAGGCCAGAGAAAGAGCGCTTCTCCTTCTTGTTTTAATTCTATTCACAAAGTGCAAGGGGAAAGGAAGGCATGTTGGTTGGAGGAAAGGTTCTCCATGGCATGGGGTGGGCATGGGTGCCTTTCCTTCAGTGTGCTCCATCTGTGGCTCTCGGCATCAGGTACCTCATCTGATCCTCACTACAGCCCTAGGTGGTAGGTGCTATTTGTCTCCTTTTATGAACAAAGGCAGTGAGTGAGGCCTAGAGAGGCTGGTAAGAGGAAGAACTTGAATTACAACCCAGACTTTCTAGATTGGATTCTTTCCCTTTGGTATGCTGCCTTTTAAAGAATGTCTATCAAAAATGTGTTTAATTTCTGAGAATTTGTACCTTGATTCTCCCTCCTGTTCCCTATAATTAATATGTAAATTAATTCACAAGTGTTATCAACTTCATCTTATAAAATATATTTGCTATGACCTGTGCATTAATCCATCCATTTTAGGCACAGCATTTCTGTGACCTGAAAACACTTTCAAGGAGACTTTAACAATATGGCTGCTAAAACTTCCATTCCAAGTCTCATCTGTTTGATTGATACTTTGGTTATTACGCATCTTTCTCTTTTCAGAATGTAAGTTTTGTGAGAGCTGTTACTGCGCTTCCCTTCTCTGTTCTATCCCTACTAATAATGAACTCATATTGAGCACTTATTTCAAGAGCTTTACTTGTATTAACCCTTTGAGCCTTACTGATGAGACAGGTACTGTGATCATTGAATTTTACAGATAGGGAAACTGAGACAACAGGTGGGGCACCAACTAGACCAGGGTTAGACAGTTAGTATATCTGAAGCTGTGATGTCACCTGAGGCTGTTTCATCTGGAAGATGTGCCCTTCTCCTTCACGCAGATCTGCCGGACAGGCAGAAAGAGCTAAAGCCAAACATCCCAGTCAAAGAACAAAATCCGGTTAGGATTAGGTCTATGCTACCATCAGCCCACAAGCTGGAGAAGCGACACCTCAAAAGCACATGCTAGGAGCTCCTGCTGGACTGGCTGACTCAGCTGGAAGTAGGTTTGAAAACTAAAGGAAACTGATTTCTAATGAAATGATTAGTAGTACAGAGTTCCAGAGCAATAAGCATTTACTTTCCCTGAAGAGGCTATTATTTAATAGCATTTAGGAGAGCTTTCTCGATCTCAGAGTTTATGTTTTGTTGAGACTGTGGTGAAAGTCTAAGACGACATGAGGTAACAGCTGGCTTTCTGTACTCTGTGTGCCTGGAGCTCACATTTGAGCATTTCTTTTAAATAGCGCCGACTTCACTGGCATGTAACCGAGTTAGTCTTTTTGCTTTTAACCTCTGAATACGTTGCTGTCTGAGTAGATACTGCTTTTCTGTTATGCTAAGAATCGGACCCTCTTTCTAGGTAACATAATGTGATTTCCACTTCTCTGCTAAAAAGGAGCATTGCTCATCAAAGTAGCATTAAAATTGGAATTGAACCAAGATATGTAAAGGTACAATGATGAATGTCGTCGTATTTTGTACCTAAAATGTACCAATAAATTTAATGAAAAAAATGGAATTGGTACATCTGTGGCTACTCAGTATATTCATTTTGTTGTTCTTAAAAAATATTTGTAGTACACTCTTACCTGGAAACAATTTTTGAATTTCTTGCTCACAAAATACAGGGCTATTGGGTTTATACATGAATTCATGGTTGCTAAGTTAATACCGATGTAATCCATGAGCAGCAAGAAACTAGAGCAAAAGAAAATAGAACAATTAGAATGTATTGTTTTAAAATTCTCTAAGTACCATTTATCCCTAAGATAAGCATTTTTCTTGCCCAGAAGCCATGTCTTATAGGTGGCAGCTAGAATTTTGCAGTTAGAATTCTGGAAAAAGTGCTTAAGTGGAAGTTTCAGTTTTGCAGGATGCTGAAGCTAGACCAACCCCTTGGTTAGTAGAAACTCTTAGGCATGGCCCCAGGAGGGACTGGCGAGAGTGTAGACATGGCTTGCACAGATTCTGGGATCAATTATGGGCTATGTCAGCTAGAAAAAAATCGACTTTGCAATTTTAATTTTCAGAGCTAATGAGAACGTGAGGAAGATATAAAAGTTTTATACATGCGGAAAGCAGGGAAACTCCAATCTCCGATGGCTACAAAGAATCATACCTAAGTAATTCACACCGGTTGGTGTCCATCTCATTGTACACTGTTTTCTTCAAAATACGGCTTAAATGAAGAGGGAACCAGCAAAGAGCAAAAATTACAACCAAGCAGAACACGGTCTTGGCCACTTCTCGACGCTAAAGGAAAAGTGAGGAGAAAAAAAATACGGTAAGTTCAGTATTTTTACACTAGTTAAAACAACTACACCAGAAGGTAAATAACTCAAAGATGAGCCAGGAGAATGGCCCCTCACAGGACTCCTGCCTCTTCCAGACTTGGAGTGCAATTTTATTTTCATCAAGGACTTGCGGATGATGCTTTCGGACAGCTGTCAGGAAGGGATGATGGCCTCAGGCTACTAGGCCAGGACAGATTTTATATGTCAGGATAGAACCTTTGGGGAACTGTCTGCAGGCGAGTCAACGCTATGGCCAAGTGTGAGCAGTGTGTACAAGGTGTGCCTGTGTCCATAGGTGAGTGGGGGTTAGATGAAAGTTCAGTAACAGGTCGCTAACTAATAATAGCCTGGCGGAGGAGGTGACTGAATATAGCAGGAAAATGGACAAATCTATAAAGACATCTGGAAAACAAAACAGCAGTGCGGGAACAGTAGAAAAAGCAATGGCAACGTGTTTTCTCTTTTTCCTGATCTTGAAGGTAGCTGGCTAGCTAGCTTCTTCTTGTTTTTATTTACTTATTTGAAATAGGGGGTTTTGCCAGCCAGTCATGTTGCCCTGACTGGTATGAACTCAGACTTATGGGATCCTCCTTCCTCAGCTTCCTGACCAGCTGGGGCTATAGGTATTTACCACGGTGCCTCTCTTGGACTTTAAAATTTTAAAATTCTCTTCTTAACAAGATAGTTTCTGGAGCTTATTGGTTACAAACAGAAAGACACAGGTTAAAGATTATCATTCGTCATGATTATGAAACTGGAATGTGCTGGCCCTGGACTCACTTCAGATGAAGATTTATAAACCTTTGAGTCACTCAGGATCAGAGAGAAACCATAGGTTAGGACTCATCTGTGGCCATTCATAGGGTGCATTATGCCTGACTAGTACACTGCACACAATTAGAAGCCTAAGTAGGAACATAAAACCCCACTTGTCTGTAAGTGGGATCGATTGATATCAAAATAAAGCTGACGGAAAACAGGGTTTGGAAAGATCACACTGGCTCAGCATCACTGAAGCCTGTAACGTTAAGTCTGGAAGCCGATAGTAAACCCACATGATCATTTGAGGCATTCCTAAAGATTTGTGGCCGTGGTCATGAACGGTTGATCTAGCCCCAAGAACGGAGCGAATTCTGTAATCTTTCATAGCTGGGTACTACGGCATCAGCAGGATAATTGAACATTTCAATCTACAGGAGTGGGGGACTTTAAAAAGGTCATTTTATGTGCACAGCAAGACAGTGCACCCAGAAAAATTGAAACAGAAGGAATTAGGAGGTCACCTGCTCTGTGTATATCCTCAAGGAAGTTAACTGGTTTTATTATGGAACAGGGAAGCCTGACCTCTTCATCTATACAGTGACCCAAAACAGTTCTGACAGTAGCTTTCAGGAGGACTCGTATGGGTTGCTGGAAAAGATATCCATGTGCGCACATGCACATGTGTGTGTGTAGCAGGGGGATACTGCTTTGGAGCACACACACTAATAATATTCTATGGCTCTTTCCTTCTTGCTGCCTGAAAATCAGTTATGAAAGTAGAGCTGAACCAGATATAGTGGTGCGGGCCTATAATTCCAGCACTCTGGGAGGCTGAAGCAGGAGGATCACAAGTTCAAGCCCAGACTTGGCAACTTACAAGATAATGTGTCAAAAAAAAAAAAAAAAA